CAGTAATATGAGATGTATTCACCCTATTTCATTTAAGGTGATGAAGGACTGGCAATAGAATTTTCCCACATTAATATGAGTAGAGCTGACGTTTCCATTGAATTTAACATAGTCTTGCTTTCCCAAAAGTGGTTCTCATCCAGTATGGACTTCAGTTTCGACATCGCAGCGGGAGTCTAACCGTGACAGTGCAGAATGTGAGCTTGACGCGTTAACCACTCGGTCACATTGCCACGAGTGCACTTGGGTAACAGGGCAGATGTGAATTTCAAGGAAGACCAGGCTTTTTCCCAGGCTTTCTTTGGTCGGATTGTCGATGACGCTATGACAATTGACTACGTTACTTATTTTTCGTATTTAAGTAGAATTTCAAGACTACCAGTAAATCAGTAATATGAGAAATAGGGTGAATACATCTCATATTAGAGATTAACTGGTAGTCTCGTAACTCTACATACATACGAAAAATAAGTAACCTAGTCGATTTTTATAGCAAATATACGTTTGATTATCGATAAACCCACCAAAGAATGTCATATGGCAAAAGGTCTGGCCTTCCTTGAAATTCACATCTGCCCTATGACTCGAGGGCGCTCGTGGCAATGTGTCCGAGTGGTTAACGTGTCAAGCTCAAATTCTTTACTGTCACGGTTCGACTCCCGCTGGGGATGTTGATAAGACCTATACGAGGTCGAAACTGCAGTCCAAACATGAATGAGAACAACTTTTGTGAAAGCAATGCTATGTGAAATTTAATGAAAACGTCAGCTCTGCTCATATCATTGTGGCAAAATTCTACTACCAGTCCTTCATCACCTTAACGAAATAGGGTGAATACATCTCATATTACTTTCCACTTGTATGTGAGTTCATCATGAGATCAGCGTGTTGGGATGATCCATCAAGTATTCCATAAGAACTTGAATAAATATCTCGATAAGTCATTTGAATTATCCTATTATTACTGGTCAAAACAAAGATATTTTCTGAATACTGGCAGCTTATTTGACCTAAATTGGCCTAAATATCACTACTAAGCACTACTACAGAAACGACATAAGCCTATTACGATAAAACATGCCTTATAACCAGAACTAATTAAGGCAAATCAGGACATACAAGTATACAGCAAAAAAGCCTACTGTGGGTTTAAAAATAAATTTATAATAAACTAGAGATTATATGCAAATTATCTTTTGTGCGGATATTTTTCCCTACTCTCCTAAGTACATGCTACTGCATTTATAATGTGGATACCATGTACCTCTATTATGCTTCTTGTATAATAGGCTGGAAATATGGCCAAATGTTTCCTGGTAGTTAAACTTAGGCGAAAAGAGCATGGGATAGGTAAGAAGGAGGGTGCTAGCTATCTTACATATGAACATAAAAGCAATTAACAATAAATCTGTTCTATAAAAGGACTCTAGACGATATTTCTGAAGACAACAATGAGGTAAGAATTCATCAAAAGAAGCATGAAATGAATGCACAAAATGCAATGCAACGACAACAGTTAATGATATTCAGGTAGAATAATGGTTTACTTTCCAATAAAATGTTTCATATATCACACCTTCATTGTTGTAACTTTGTGGAAGATAAGTGCCTAGAGTCATCTCGAACAAGATAAAATTAGGTAAAAACAACATAGTCCAGTATTTGACTTATTGAAAACGAAAAAGGCAATACGATACTTTTGGATTTAGGCTATCGAACTTTAGTTGGAAAATAAATTAATCTTGAATTTTGGCTGGTTTATGACAAGCTTAGTTGAAGATGTGACAGTATAAGTTTGTTTTTAATAAGTAAGACAAGCACTTTTAAGAATTCAAGCCCACTTAGAAGGTTATATTAATAATAAACATTTTCATTGAGCAACTATAAGCCTCTAGGACCTAGGCTTGCAATTCTTGATGTGAATTTACAAGTGCTTTACCACCTCAATAAATTAAGAATCAGTGTTGGGATTAGACATTAAGAAGCACTTTCAAAAAAGCAATCGGATACCGTTAATACAGCAAAAAATCGTACAGGTTATTATAAAAGGTTGCATTTAGCACATGCCCAATTACATACAGCCTCGATAATTACCTGATGCAGCGGCTGACCCATTGCTGAGACAGACCTATGCTGGGAATCGAAATGTCGACTCCTTGACATCAACGCCGTTGTAAGCTGTTGTTGCTGTGTCAGAGATGAAAGAGCAGACTGATTTGAATAAAAAGGCAATAACATTTGAGAGGACTGGCTCAAATGAGTATCAGGGGATCTAAGCCCTTCGGAAACACCAGTCCCAGACAAAACACCAGGGCCCAAAATTCGTCCCTGAATAGGTCCTGAGGAAGCTGCATAGGCTGCAGAAGTGAGGCTAACTGAGCCAGTGCTACAGGCCAAGGGAGTTGACCGACCACTCAAAGGAGAAGGAGGAGGCGACCAGCCAGTTGGGCCAAATCCGGTTAACAGAGGTGTAGTAGCGTGCGCTGAAGAAAGCATGTGAGTCAAGCGCAAAGGACTTGTTCCAGGAAGCGATCCTCCTCCAGTGGCAACTCCAACAGGAGAGGTACCAAGGCCTGTTGCAGAGAGACCTGGTAGCGAAAACCCGTGTTGGTTCGTGCCAACAGTATTGACAACTTGAGATTCAAGTTCCTCAGCCAACTGCTCTGCGTTCTGTTTCTCCTCCTGGATTTGGTAGAAAAATGGAGATGTAATAAAGTGGAGGCACAGAGATGAGAAGGAACATGACTAGTAGTCTCGAAATCATGCTTATAAACGAAAAATGAGTGATGAAATATCGGAAGTTGTAACTTTTTATATATCCTATGTAATAGGAAAGCATCGGAGTTTGCAAAGTTCAACATTTGTAAGGGACGTATTTTGCTTTTAAAATAGAAAGTGGAGAAAGCATACACACTTATAAAGCCACAACATAAAAAAAGTTACCGCAAGAATGCATGATTACTGGCTGGTTGTCAGTCAACTTGATAAACTTAGAACTTGCTTTGGCAACTTGGTCATATTAGCAGAAAGACCTAGAGGAACGCACTTTGTCCGGGGACCATAGCATGCATCATAATTTCCAGTCGGACGGTGGACTTGTTGCATATCCAGACGTTTTGCCGGCATTCTGGTCGGATTCGTGAATGAGCCTTGCCATTCATAGCACTACAATGTTTGCCTCGTCCTAGTTTCTCTAGATTTGTTAATCCGAATTGAGCCCCTATATGGATTTCCCTCATGAGCAGGTAGATCTCTTTGTTTACTCATAATAGAGAAATTCGGTCAAGATGCATTTAAATAAGTCACCCTGACAACACGAACAAGTTGTAAAAAGGAGATAAGACCACTTGTATACATCGAAAGGAGGCTGTGATCAAAATAAAGGATACGACAGGTCGGTCTTCATATCTACGTTTAAATATACTAAAACGTCGTAGTATCCTGTAGCTGATTAAAGTTGATTTGACCTTATTTTCGCAACTCGAATATAGCCAGTTCTGCATCCTCTTCTATAGTATTAATGATAATTTCCGGTGTAGGATCGCAGACATTTTTTTGGGCGTTGCTAGCGAGAGATGCCACTCCTGACATAGTCTCAATTTAGCAAACTGACAAGTGAAGACACTCCCCTAGACCAGTTTTCGTTTCAATATTATGGCATCTCTTGGATTTCTATCCCAGTTTTAGCGCTGCCTCCAAAGTTCATGACCCCACTTCATATAGTACGTTTAACTATTCACACTATTATGTGCCTTAGTTTGCTACTATGTCGCTTAAGGGTACAACTTAAAGTGGATTTAGTAAAGAGTTATAACTTTCACCACCAGTTTCAGATACCGTCCGTATAGCTACTAAGACCCAATACGCAATATCATTTAGGCCCTTTAAACTAAATCTTTATAAACTAGACCTATCAACAAGTAAGGGTGTCACAGATAGTCCAGAGTTTTTTGTAAGCAGGATAATTTCCAGAATCGGACGGTGGACGTAGTACATTCCCAGACGTACAACGTTCACGGTCCGACACTGAAAATTATGATGCAAACAGTCGACTCCGGATTAGGTTCGCTCCTCTAAGTATTCCTAACAATGTGAACAAATTACGAAAAGAAGGTCAAACAACTTATATACGACGATAGGATGCTGCAAACACACAAAAAGGCACACCATATTGGTCTTCACGCCCTAGATTACGATTGCTAATAGAGGTGGGTTGACCTCGTTGTCGCAAGTAGGTCTTGTTGTCAGGGCGACTTAGTAGAACGCACCTAGTCCAAAGTCATCTGCCATAGAAGTTGTCATGATTACCTGCATCAGACAGTGGACTTGGAACATTCTCAAACGTTTCGCCGGCATCGTTAGCTTTGCTTTTCTCCGCACCAAGATACGAACTCGTCAAAGAGACAAGTGAAGTCAATCCCTTGACAAAAGTTTTGCCGAAAACGGTTACACTATCACTCATCTTTCTGTCCTGGCCTATCTATCTACTCTTTAGCCTCTTATCCCACTGCCGCCCTATCACAACTTTTCATTTGTTTGCATTCCTCTCGTCAAAATGTGTGCCCTTTTGTGGCAAATCTAGTGTGGCCTAATCACACTTGCTATTTACCCCCACCCCTCTTATTAATTTTCTCAAAAAAGCAAAATCATGTCACTGAAAGAAATGGACTTATTGGTAAGTTTTGATGAGAAATCCATGTATACAAATATCTCTGGATAAAATGCGCTGACGGCTCTGTTTAAAATCAAGGAGAAAGAGGAGGATATCCTGGAATCACAACGGATTAGGAGGGAGTCAGTAACATGACTAATCAACTTGGTAATAAGGGCAACCTATTTTAATTCAACGGGAACATCTATGGACAAATATTTTGACTTCCCATGGGATCGCCGCTCTTAGCACTTTTAGCAAACTTATACATGAACAAAATAAAAGAGAACATCAGGATGGCACCGCTACAACCAGCAGTTCTCATGCGGTACCTGGATGATTACTTCAAACTTTGGTCATATGGAAGAGAAAAACTGGAAGAGTTTCTAAAGTTTGTAAACCAAATTGATAAACAAATTCAGTTCACGATGGAAGTAGACGAAGGTGAGCGGTTACCATTCATGTACGTTGAAGTGATTCGCTCTAATGGGACGCTCAAAAAGAAATTGCTTAGAAAGAAGCCCTATGCTGGGATAATACTCTATTTCGGGTTCCATCACAATTACAGGCTAAAGATAGGAATAATGAGGAGCATGATCATCCGAAGCCTACACTTAACGGATGTAGAATTCTGGGACGAAGAGCTGGAAAAATTGATTAGGATATTCCTCGGCAATGGCTACCCGAGTGAAGTGATACAAAGAAACATAATAGCCGTGAAAAGCCGATGACAGAAAGGGGACTATGAAAATTCAGTAAGGACGATGAAGGGGATTCACAAAAGTGAATATGCCTACCTTCCTGCGAAATAACTTAAACACTACAGCCAATGTTGAGGAAATGGAATATTCAGGAGGTCATGAAAGAGAAATCAACACTTTTTACAAGTCTGCCGACAAAACATTAAAGGGTAATGTATGTGCTTCTAGGGCCTTGATAAGTAGCGCCTGAAGTGAAATGCACGAAGGGACTGGAACCGAGTGAAATATGTCAACCAGAAAGATAAGGAACGGATCTACAAGACAATGAGCGGATCCGGATTGGAGGCTTGAGTCGGATAAGCCGAT